TTAAAAGGCCAATAACGTCCCATGCTGTTTTTCACAAATCAGAGTTCTAATAAAAAAGATGAAAATGCCCCTATAATTATTGACTCAAGGAAGCTTTATTCTCTGTTGAGTTTGTTTGGCTGGTGCATTTAGACATGTTTTTTTTTTTTTTGCAAATCCCTGCATCTGAACAAAAAAGTTGACTCCATTAAGGTCCGATTTCTTGCAAAACGGCTCTCATAAGGAAGAAGAGAGAATAATTTTTTGTAACTGAACATGAAAGATTTTTTTTTATTTCACGTCTCTAAAAATTTGGCATGAAGATTCGACATTTTGCAGCTAAAAGTGTAAGAATTTATCATCGAGTGTCCATATTTTAAGATGGAACATTCTCACTGTCTCACTGATGCAAAAATCACTTATGTCAAAAGTAACTTGTTTCTAAGTGATATATTATTACATTTTAATTTGGTAAGTTTGCAAGTTCAAGAATTAAATAGTTCTTTGATCTAAAATTTCATTTACAAGTTGCAAATTATTCCTAATGAAGTTGCAAAATTTGGTGTCTCAGTTGCAAAATACTAGAACATTGTCCTAAAAGTATAACTCTTGTAAGAATCTAATAGTTCTTCGATTCACAATTTCAAATACCAGTTGCAAATTGTTTCTAAGGAAGTTGCAAAACTTGGTGTCTCAGTTGCAAATTACTGGAACATTGTCCTAAAAGAATAACTCTTGTAAGAATTTAATAGTTACTCAATCCAAAATATCGAGTACCAGCTGCAAATGCTTCCTAAGGAAGTTGCAAAATTTAGTGTCTCAGTTGTAAATTACTGGAACGTTGTCCTAAAAAATTTAACTTTTCTACAAATTTAATAGTTTTTTGATCAAAAATTTTGAGTACTAGTTGCAAATTATTCCTAAGAAAGTTGCAAAATTGGGTGTTTCAGTTGCACATTAATGAAATATTGTCCTAAAAGAATAACTCTTGTAAGAATTTAATAGTTCTTCGATCCAACATATCGACTACCAAATGCAAATTGTTCCTAAGAAAGTTGCAAAATTTGATGTCTCAGTTGCAAATTACTGGAACATTGTCCTAAAAGATTTAACTTTTCTACAAATTTAATAGTTCTTCGATCCAAAATTTTGAGTACTAGTTGCAAACTATTCCTAAGGAACTTGCAAAATTTGGTGTCTCAGTTGCAAAATACTAAAATGTTATCCTAAAAGAATAACTCTTGTAAGAATTTAATAGTTCTTCGATCCAAAATTTCGTGTATAAGTTATAAATTATTCCTAAAGAAGTTCCAAAATTTAGTGTCTCAGTTGCAAATTACTGGAGCCATGTCGTAAAAGATTTAACTCTTGTAAGAATTTAATAGTTCTTCGATCCAAAATTTTGAGTACCAGTTGCAAAATTTTCCTAACGAAGTTGCAAAATTTGGTGTCTCAGTTGCAAATTACTGGAGCTTTATCCCAGAATAATAACTTTTTTAAGAAATTCAGTAGTTACCCCACCCAAAATTTTGACAAACAGTTGCGACATTGGCTATATATAATTGATTTGGTTGCTTGTTCAGCTTACTTGATAGTCACAAAGAGTGTTTTATATCACTTCACTTGTCCTAAAATAATAATGAAATTAGAAAATTCCATGATTCATTTGTTACATTGAATTGGATCAACATATGATTAAAGTAATATAAGTAACAGCCCAGCTGTTTCAATTGGCAGGAAATACATGTTATATAGATAATTTTTGCCACTCGCATTGAATCATTAGCTTCTATAAGACTACTGAATTTTCCTTCATTTTTTTTAGAAACTCTTTTTTGAAGTTGTCGTATCCAGACTTCTTTTTTGTTGTAGCTTTCTTGTTGTCCATAATTTCTTGGTGTCTCAGTTGCAAATTACTTTTTTCTAGTCTGCAACAAAAGCAAATGAAACAGATTCAACCAAATGTTACACCCAAAAACACACCACATACATATACACTGACATGGAATAGTGAACATGTAGGGTAGCAGCTTTTAATGGATTAATTAAAACTTTGGCAAATATGAGAGAGGAGAAAGGGGCTAATAGTGGTCATTTTCAAAAATATAAGGCCACTATGATTATAGATAAGCTAAACGTAAAGGACATGTATAAGCAGTGATTACAGTCCCAAGCCACATCATTACAAATATCATCCTAATACAAATGTAAAGAATGCACATACCAAACACCACCTAAAAGATTCTTCATATTTCAATGTATCTCATCATAGTTTGGCTACTATAATCATAAATGGGTAGGGTACCAATGCACATATTATCTCTTGGTGCAACAAACTTAGAACCTCACATGAGAGGAAGCAAAACAAACATAGAAGATTGCCTAAAAGATATGAACAAGAACCGGGTCTTACAAAATGCTACTCAAATTGGAAACACCATAGTGATATGCCATATTCTGTTACAAAAATTAACACCTAAATAGAAGCATAAGCCTACACTTAAACAACTATTTGCATAACAACATTGCAAAGCTGATGAATTGACCAGTCTGCATCTTAATATAGACCTTTAAAGTTAATAAAACACAAAACAACAAGATCAAATGCTAATTACCATTAGATAAAGTCACTCGCATTCACTATAATGAGTTCATAACACAAACTAGTTTAAAAATAGCATAAAATTACTATATGGCTAACTGACAAGCTTTTCTTCTATTTAAGAAGGCATATCATGTTATTCTTACAAGAAATCCTAGAAGATGGAAAACGAGTAACTAATGGGGTATGATATTGATTATGTCAAACTTATTTATAGAGCTGCCATTACATCACAATTGTAGTGATAACAACTTCTGAATGACATGGAATGTAATTCACACTTCATGATTTGGAAGACATTTTATTAAATATTAAAATATTTTTATTTGATTCTGAATTTATGACAATATACTAATAAAGCAGATGTGTATATATCTACGTATGTGTGCATGTATATGTATAACGGGCTAAAATCATATTCAACTTCTTCTAATTTGATAAGTATTTGTAGTCAAATTTCATGTAAAACACATGTCAAACACTTAATTTATCTCCACTTTGTGTATCCACAAAACTAATTGTCAACTAGAAACTGCATAAAATAAGCAATAACTTATGGTCTCAGCAATAAATACGTTACTAGCCTTAGTTTCTGCCAATGACAGACAAAAGTAACAATTGGACTAATGGCAATTTTAAGCCTGCTTGAAATGTGCTTGAAAGGGATACGAAGTACTGATATTTATGGTTAGATAAAATAAAAGGCTGCACATGTACCCATCATCAGATTAAATAGTTCCCCTGTCATTCTTTTTTGCAATTTCACACATGTAAAAGTTGCTAACCTATTGCTCTATCATGGGATAGAACCCTTTACAAGATCCCTGCATCCTGTAGCTTGCTTCTGTAACTTTGTTTTTTGCATTTAACTATGATTGGCTCTTAAATATGATATAGAACCAAAGTCCATCTGCCAAATCAAATATCCTCAAGCTCAATTCCAATATAGAAAACACAGAAACTAAAAAGTTTGCTGTTAAAAGATTCATACATACTTCTTCCAACTTAAAGAACTCATGTTTGAAGCTAGAGTATACAGGTAACTTAAGGATAGTTAGACAAAACATAAACAGTAATAGACGCAAAGGTTATGTGAAATCAATGGAAAACCATAACTTATGCAAGAAGACAGAAGCACACGAATGACATACTGACTTTCAAGAAAGGGCAAAGAGAAAACAGAGAAGAGACGAGGAGTAATATATAAAGATGACAAGATGAGAATAGACACAGATGAGAAGCAATGTATCGACAAATCAATCAAAACAGCTTGCATTGAGGAAGAGAAGCTTTTCTACGGTCAATCAATCGAAAGAGCTCATGCTAGGGCAGAGAAGCTTTCCTCTGATCAATCAATTGAAATAGCTCCTTGGTAAGGCAAAGAAGATTAGAAGAGAGCTCGTCGCTAGGGCAAAGAAGAGAGCTCGTCGCACACATAGGAACTCATTAGCAAGGCAGAGAAGAAACCGAGCAGAGATGAGAGCTCGTCCTACATAGGATCTTGTTCCGGCAGAGAAGAAAACGAGCATTTAACAATTACTTGAGAAGAAGGGTGTTTCAGTCTTTTCCCGTGACACCAAAATACCACTTAAGGACTCTAGGACTTCATTAAACTTTTAGAATTACTTGGGACTTAACTGGTATAAAATTAGTCTTTTGGGAAGAGAGCTCGTCGCACACATAGGAACTCATTAGCAAGGCAGAGAAGAAACCGAGCAGAGATGAGAGCTCGTCCTACATAGGATCTTGTTCCGGCAGAGAAGAAAACGAGCATTTAACAATTACTTGAGAAGAAGGGTGTTTCAGTCTTTTCCCGTGACACCAAAATACCACTTAAGGACTCTAGGACTTCATTGACCTTTTAGAATTACTTGGGACTTAACTGGTATAAAATTAGTCTTTTGGGACTTGATTGTCATTTTCCCTACAATATTTCTACATAAATACTGTTGATATGTTCAAGTTTTTTTTTTTTTTCAATAAAGTAAACCCTTTAACACAATCAAACTGTGTATTGCAAATCATAAATCCTCCAAATTAAAGCCTCGATCAATCCCCTGATCTCAATTGATGGAACCATCAAAATCCAAACGAATTTAATTTTGCTTTCATTGTAGCAAACTCCAACTGCTACATACTGTTTTCCCTTTATATATATACACCATCTTATTCTATATCTCTCTCTTATTTTATAATCATTTTTCAAATGTTTAACTTCACAGAATCTAGATTCCAGGAGTTATGTACACAAAAGTTTCTTAAATGTTTAAATTCCATCAAATTTGAACAAGACCTTCTCTATGTTGAAACAAAAAGAGAGTACTAAGTAGAACAAATACTATATAACTTTTTTTTTTTGGGTCAAAGGAGCATCAATATCTTTAAAACTGTATTAATCACAAGACTGATGACTCAACTATAAGGAAAAGAAATGTATAAAGTATAAGATCAAAACTCTATGATCATGGTAACTTTTGTCATAATTAATTACAGTTTCCCTGTCCACAACATAAGGTAAAATAACAAAAATAAAATCCAAACCGATTATTGGATATTGAGATCGATCTTCACTTTTGTGCTTTTGTTTTGTCCTGTGTAAAAAATTCATCATTGTGGTTCAGCTCCCACACCAGTGGTTGAACCAATCCCTACCTGCAACCATGGGGAAGAACTCCCACCTATGTTCATGTCCTTTAGCTCACTTAGCTTCGCTAACTTCACCTTACTGTCAGCTTCATCTTCAACATTCTCCATCGAAACATTACTGTCATTGTTAATTTTTTCTTCTTCGTTGTCATTTTCAGTTTCATAGTGATGCTGGTGCTGATGGTGCTGTAATTCGCGGTTGCTTGGGCTGTGACATTGACTGTTAGAATTATTAATTTTATCCTTCTCCTTTGTCGTCGTTCCTCCTAACCATGGCTGTAAGAAAATTTCCGTTGACAAGTCCCGCCGTGCCGGATCACCGGCTGGAGCTGGAAGGTTGAGGTCGAGCTTCAGATCAAGTGGCTCCGAGTTATCAAACTTGGGAATTTGATTCAACCGCTCCATATGGTCTTGAAACTGCTGAAACCTAGCCAATGTGGACGATGCTGGTGCGTTTGGTGTGATCCAATGACACCTCTTGTGTCCTCCTAAGGCTTGTCCCGACGAGAAAGTCCGGTGACATATAGAACATTCATGAACTTTGGATTTTCTTTTGGACGAAGACGACGCCATTAATAATGTGGCATTATTATTGGAAGGATGATCATGAACGGTCGAGTTTGATTTTATAGGAAGAAACTCTTCATGGGTTATGACATCATCGTCTTTATCTTCAAGATGGTCGAGTCTCGAAGCAAAACAGCCTTTAACTTTCTTGTGGCTGGCTCTATGGCCACCTAACGCTTGATGAGAATTGAAGATTTTCTTGCATGCTTTGCATTCAAACAAGCCTTTAGGAACCACACTTTTGGCTTTATGATTATCCACGGGAGGAACACAGTAAGATACTGGGGTGATGAAGTTTATGGGGTTCCTTCTTTCCTCGTCTCGGCTCGCCGAGGCACTGGACTCCTCCGGATCGGTGGCGGCAGCGAGAGGACCGACAATGGCGTTGGACAACATCATGAGACAGTTTGCTAGGTCTTCTTCTTCACTTGAAGGACATATAGAGTTCAAGGTACCAAATTTGGGTCTGAATGATCTCTTACGTTTCGACCATCTGCAACCCCTCTGGCCACCCACGACATCCTCGCCATCATACTCACCGTCCGACATCGGCGAAGAAACCGGGGACGACTCCACATCGTCGGAGGTGCATTTTCCATGTTCAAGAAAGGACTTCCACGACAAGAACTCTTTACCGCAATTCTCACATACCCTACAACTCTTCAATCTATTAGGGTTTGTTCTTAGAGTATACATGCGTTTCATGCTCGGTGGCCCGCTGCCGCCTTGCTTTTCTTCCCAGTCACTCGCAGCATCCTCATCGTCGTCGAGGTTCCAGCTCGCGTCGCCGATGCCATGCGCCCTCATGTGACCACCCAGCGCTCTCCCACACCCGAAACTTTTCTTACAGATCTTGCAGAAATGCTTCAAGTTTGATTGATGTTGCTGATTGACCGTCAAAGCCATATACAATCAGAGGATCGGAGAGGATGAGAATTAAAGGAAAGGAAAGGAAAGGAAAGGAAAAGAAAATTAAACGAAGCACGAGGAAGGAGGGGGGGGGAGGAAGGTGGGTTAATTAAGAAAGGAAGGTATATAGAAGAAGAAGGAACGAGTTATTTGGTTCCTATTGTAGTGAAAATTGTTGGGAATTTGGATGGTGAGAATTGAGGGGTAATTAAGAGTCCTGATTTTTAGTTAAGGAGAATGGTTGAAGATGAAACGTGGGGATGAGAGAGATTGAGAGAGAGAGAACCTGGTTTGAATGTGAGAGTTGTTTGACTGTAAGAGAGTGTGGTGACTCGTGACAAATGGAAGGACGATGAGAAGGTGACAGACTTTTTCTGCCACTCTGTTAGTCAAAGCTTCCAAACATTGTTTTGCGTTTAGTGTCTCTGCTTGTCTCTGATAATGACGTAAAAGGAGAGAATTACTTCTAAAGCCCAAGTTGGGGGGAAAAAAGGGGAAATATTATTGACGAATTTCTTATAGAATTTAATTTGTCAAAACAGTAGTTTCATTTGTTAATTTGTTAATTTTTACTTTTTAAAAATATTTGTCAGATATTAAATTCTTTTAGGGGTACTTCATTAAAATTTTCCCTTAAAAATAGTGCCTCGATGAAAATTATTGTAGAATTTGATGGCCATCATGTAAAAATGGAATTCTGATATATCAAAATGAAAAAAATGTAATATTATTATATTTTTGTTAGCTTTATTCCATAATAGTTATTTTTTTGCTTTTATCTTATAATAACAAAAAATAGTTTTAAAACCATTGTTCTGATCCATTATTTTCTATTTCTAGGAAGAACATATTATATTTTGCAAACTAAACAAGTCCTCATAAAAGTGAGCATTAGAACGACCTCACTTGAACATGATCTATTCTGTAGGCTCGTACCTTTGTGTCCTTGAGTTTCAAAAACAAGTACTATGTAAAAATGAGAATTAATGGCAAATTTATATCAAAGGATCTAAATATGATGAAAATTACCATGATAATTCTTAAAACATGGAATAAGGTTTGAAAGTTACTATACCTAAAATTATTTAAGATTATTATATTCTTAAGAATTGAAAGTAAAATTTCGTTTTATTTCAAAATAAATCTTAAAAAATTGATCATTTCTTTTGGAAGTAAAGTTATTATAGCTTTTAAAAACGTAATAAACAATTTTTTAATACTGGGTCATCGGATGCAATTTTCACTATGGAGAAAAACATGTTAATTTTTGGCTGTGTGACAGTGAGAGTGGTTCTAACTGCCATACCTACTATTGATATCGCTTCAATTCCAAGCCAAGTAAACCATCCTCTGATTTCCCATGTCTGTCGGTTGGTTTAATCTGTTGAGTTTTAACCTTAAACATTACATTTATTTATACATACATTGTATGTATAATATATTTTCAGTATCAATCATGTTTTGTCTGGTGAATAATATCAATTAAATACTATGTTATTGGCCACCTCTCATCTAAAATATATGAACTAAGTATGAATACATATTATAAGGCAAAGCTTTTTTCTTTTCTTAAACATCATTTGAATCTTACAGCTCTATTTACATCCTATTTCACCCTTACTTTTTTATCAAAACTCATCTCGTTAAAACATAGCCCTTTTTTTTATGTGCCAAAATAATAAATTTATAACAATAATTAGATCCTTACAAATTTTTCTAAATAATCAGTTGTAAATATTAATTCAAACAATTATAAATTCAAGAGGTCTAACTGCAAATAAGATATTTAAATTTTAAATATAATTCTCATTTTTCAGTTGGAATTCCTGTTTAGATCAATAGTTACAATTTATTTTAAAAAAAATTCTTGAGGACTTAACTATCATAAATTCACTATTGGGACTTTATTGTCATTCTCATTTTATTTTCTGACAAAATATATTATACTTTTCAGATTTGAAACTAAGATATGCATTTAATATGAAACAAAACAAGGATTAAGTTCCAATAGAATTGATTAAAAAACGATCTTTCAATCTTCAATAATATGTTTATAGCTAGACTGAAATCAGGCTTGAGACAAATTACAAATATAAAAAGTTAGAGTTAGTTTTAGAATTTAATATTTTTATTAGATGTTCTTGTTAATTTTATATTTTACTACGAGTTATAATTTTTTGCAGAGAGTAAAATTAGGTTTTTACCTTCTTTTTTTGGCCAGATTTTCTTTAATTTCCCTTCTTTTAATAGACATATATTTTGTTTAGTTATAATTAATATTCAAGTACGGATCTTGAATGAGTCAATTATTTTAAAAAAAATATGTTCAAATAGATAACAACCTGTGGCATATGTTTGAAGCAAGAGTCAAAGCGGAAGCTATATATATCTCTTCAAATTAGACTAAGGAGAAATATATTATTATCCCAAAGAATAGGATCTGAATGAGAATTATTGAATTTAGAAGATGATTCTTCTGATTCTTAGTCTGCTCATTTTCCAAATTCAACTATTAGATGCTACTTTTGGCTTAATTTTCTTTATGACACACGTTCTTTAAACTAAATTTACAGTATTAATTTCAAACAGTTTATATTGCTTGATATCTGCAAAGCAAGGCAAATAAATGAGGTCAGAAATGAACATTCGCCTTTATCATTCAATCCTTCACAATTTAATGAAATTAAATACAGGTGAATATATATATATATATATATATATTCATTTTTTGTGTAATGTTCTCCTTCAACTTATAAAAATGATGCATTTTGTCCCATGTTGTTAATAAAAGTTAATTTTGACAATTATTGATCATAAAATATAAGAAAAGGACCTAAAAATTACGAAAAAAGAACAAAAATTAACAATTATAGGACCCTAAAATTATAGAAAATGACCAAAAAAATTTTATTCATCCTTTATTTTCTAATTTTTGAGGTACTTTTCTGGCTTTTTTTTTTGGGTCAACTAAGATAAAGTTAATTTTTGTTGACTGCAAGGGTCAAATTATATTATTTTTAAAAATTGAAAAAAAACGTTGCTCATCGACCTAACTACATTTTAGAGGACAATTTGCTCTTTAATCCAAAAAGTAAGAAGCCAAAGGTTTATTTTCTTTTAGGTAAAGGTGCATTTTTTATTAAATTATTCTCCACCCTAAAACCCTAAACTATTTGATGAAACATTTTTGTCCTTACAATAATTAAAACATCACATTCTTAGATAGTCATATTGACTATCAACTTCTATTATTTAATCACAGATTAGAAAATGCTACGTTTTATTACTTTAAGAGCAAAAATACTACCTCAAATAATTTAGGGTTTTTAGATGCTCCTTGAAAGATACTTATGGGATAAAAATTCACTTTTACCCCTTTTTTCAACTCTCTCTTACGGTCTTTTTTTGTTAATGTTACAGTGAAACATTATGAATCTTGGAAATTCAACTCTTTCTATTTAGCCTAAAGTATAGTGTTGGTTGTCTAATTTTATATAAGGTTTCAATTTGATCTCTCAACTTTATAAAATATATTATTAGTCCTTGAATCTTAACACCACTAGTTTCAAATGATTATTTTTTTTTGCATCACTCATTGTTATTTTAAAAAAATTAAACTCAATAAGTCAATATTTAAAGGTTCAATTTAATTTTTTTTTTGTAAAGTTAAAGATGAAGTATATTTATTTTTGAAAACATTAAATTAATACCTTCATTCAGTGAAATAATCCCTTCAACTTGATGAGGAACAAGCCTTGGATATCAGGTGCACTATACAAAGAAAAAGATGATACCTTTCAATTTTACATTATTTTTTTTCTCAACAGATAAACGACATTAATATAAAAAGAAACTAGCTACACTTATGATCCATGACAAGTTTTGGTACGACTCTGCCTTTTTTTTGGATATATACTCGAGATCAAGCAAAGGCATGACCAGAGAGTAAAGCAAATCAAATCATTGACTTGAACTTATTTATTTTTCAAACAAACAATAGTGATGGTAGATATATAAATTATACAGGTGACCGACAAGATTCACAAATCTGAATTTTATAAATTTTTTAATTATTATTTTAAGTTTATCATCTATTAATTAATATATTAATTATAAATATATATTGCCATTTAATAATTAATATTTTTTCTATTTTCCTCTTAGATTCCATTACACATCAAAATATCAATATATATTAATAAAATTATAGGAAGCTATGTTATTCATAAATCATGAATCAATTCAAAATCTATGTAAAGAGAGACACCAAAGTCTTGTTAAATAAATACAAACATTCTAATCACCATGGAATAGTCACTTATTATAAATAATATGAAATATAAAATATATTTAAAGTCATATTATTTATAAGTCAAGGATAGTATAATTTATTTTTCTAATTATACATGGACCAGTTTGTTCAAATTTTTTTAGAAAAATCACTTTTTTTTTTTACGAAAATCTGTGAAATTTTATAATGTTTGCTTAAATTTTTAAAAGTAATTAGATGCGATAGAGAAGAGAGAGATATCATAAAAATGCAGACACACACAAAGGTATAATCAAATTTTAAAATAATTAAATGAAAAATCATTTTTTACAAATAGAGATTCACAAATTTATAATAAAATTTAAAAATAATTGAATAATAATCACTTTATATTATTATAACCAAACATAAAATAATATGTCTACTTTTTATAAAATATCTATAAAATAAACATTATTTGATAAAGTTTTTAATTAAACTATGTAAAAATAACTTATTTTTCAATTTTAAATAAACAGGTCCTATAACAGTGAATTATTATATATAATACACTATAGGTGAACCCACTTAATTATTATTATTATTATTTATTTAAGGCACCATATATAACAAATTAAAACAAAGGTGTATTCATTGCACCTTTGAATGGGGCCAGATATTTTGGTGATCCAATTATGAAGCCGGAAGAATATCATTGAATGAATTGAATAAAAAATGGTCAAATATGAAGGAAATAGCTTTCCAAGCGGATCAAGCTTTTGGAGCAGCGTGGGTCATGAGGTCTCGCCACTTCAGTCTAGAGGGAGCGATAAACTCTTAGTTAAGCAAAGACATTGCTTTGGTTACGTAGAATGATGGATCATTCATCAGTGGGTTAGTCTCTAATCAATCAATCAATCAATGTTTAATTACTTATCCTCTCTTTTCTTGCTTTCGTTTAAAGCATTTATTACAACGACACATTTTTCACTTACACTGATCAAGTAAACATCACTACCCTTTTACAAGTTATTACAACCCAAAGAGTGAGTGTGTAATTTGCTTGCTCACCAGCCTGCCTCTGCCAAGCTCCAGACAACAGTGAATTACAAATTCTTCAATTAAGTTTTTTTTTGTTTTTTTTTCTAAAAACTGAAATTCATTCAAGAGACTGAAAAGAAACACAGTGCAAGGTCCTAAGGC